CCTTCAATTCTCATTCATATCAATGCGACCGTACACACATGTATCACATCACCATGACCATATTCACATATATTCACCACATCACCATGACCATATGCATACATATACCACATCACCATGGACATATTCACATATATTCACAACATCACCATCACCATATGCATACATACCACATCACAACGACCATATACACACATATACTACATCACCATGACCATATTCACATATATTCACCACATCACCACGACCATATACACACATATACCACATCACCATGGACATATTCACATATATTCACCACATCACCATGACCATATGCATACATACCACATCACAACGACCATATACACACATATACTACATCACCATGACCATATTCACATATATTCACCACATCACCATGACCATATGCATACATATACCACATCACCATGGCCATATTCACATATATTCACCACATCACCATGACCATATGCATACATACCACATCACAACGACCATATACACACATATACCACATCACCATGACCATATTCACATATATTCACCACATCACCACAACCATATGCAAACATACCACATCACAACGACCATATACACACATATACCACATCACCATGACCATATTCACATATATTCATCACATCACCATGACCATATGCATACATATACCACATCACCATGGACATATTCACATATATTCACCACATCACCATCACCATATGCATACATACCACATCACAACGACCATATACACACATATACTACATCACCATGACCATATTCACATATATTCACCACATCACCATGACCATATGCATACATATACCACATCACCATGGACATATTCACATATATTCACCACATCACCACGACCATATACACACATATACCACATCACCATGGCCATATTCACATATATTCACCACATCACCATGACCATATGCATACATACCACATCACAACGACCATATACACACATATACCACATCACCATGACCATATTCACATATATTCACCACATCACCATGACCATATGCATACATATACCACATCACCATGGACATATTCACATATATTCACCACATCACCATCACCATATGCATACATACCACAACCAAACGACCATATATACACATATACCACATCACCATGACCATATTCACATATATTCACCACATCACCATGACCATATGCATACATACCACATCACAACGACCATATACACAGATATACCACATCACCATCACCATATTCACATATATTCACCACATCACCATGGCCATATGCATACATATACCACATCACCATGGACATATTCACATATATTCACCACGTCACCACGACCATATACACACATAAACCTCATCACCATGACCATATTCACATATATTCACCACATCACAATGACCATATGCATACATATACCACATCACCATGACCATATTCACATATATTCACCACATCACCATGACCATATGCATACATATACCACATCACCATGACCATATTCACATATATTCACCACATCACCACGACCATATACACACATATACCACATCACCATGACCATATTCACATATATTCACCACATCACAATGACCATATGCATACATATACCACATCACCATGACCATATCCACATATATTCACCACATCACCACGACCATATACACACATATACCACATCACCATGGCCATATTCACATATATTCACCACATCACCACGACCATATACACACATATACCACATCACCATGGCCATATTCACATATATTCACCACATCACCACGACCATATGCATACATACCACATCACAACGACCATATACACACATATACCACATCACCATGACCATATGCATACATATACCACATCACCATGGCCAAATTCACATAATTCACCACATCACCATGACCATATGTATACATACCACATCACAACGACCATATACACACATATACCACATCACCACGACCATATACACACATATACCACATCACCATGGACATATTCACATATATTCACCACATCACCATGACCATATGCATACATACCACATCACAACGACCATATACACACATATACTACATCACAACCATATGCATACATGTGCCAGGACATATCACCCAGGACATATTCCCATATATTCTCCACATCACCACAACCATATTCGCCTATCAACCACATCACTACGACTATATATATATATATATATATATATATATATATATATATATATATATATATATATATATATATATATATGACACCCGTGAAGATCCGGGGTAGAATAGGTCTTCAGCAACCCATGCTTGCCGTAACAGCGACTATGCTTGTCGTAAGAGGCGACTAACGGGATCGGGTGGTCAGGCTCGCTGACTTGGTTGATGCCTGTCATCGTATCCCAATTGCGTGGAACGATGCTCATGATGTCAACCACTGGATTGTCTGGTCCAGACTCGATTATTTACAGACTGCGGTCATACAACAGGAAGATTGGCGAGTGCGCCGTTCAACAACAAACAAGCAAAAAAAAACACCACGACCATATGCACACATATACCACATTACACCGACCATATACACATAAACATCATATACCCATACACTGTGCCAGTAAAACCCTTTCTTCAATTCACTCCGCATCTTGCCATGGGAAGTCCCTTTGCTTTTCAGTATTGCTATACTGTGTTTTCAGTAACCTCTTATAACTCCCGGGGGTAGTTCGAGACAAGCGGAGTGTTCATATTTGACAAAGGGATCATAACTGATTCTACAGGGACCATGGTCGCATCGTCTTAAAACAGGCACTGTGCCCTCTTCCACAAAGATCTTAGTGTCACGACTGTCGTAAGTCAACATTATAGTACGATCGTCTTTATAGCGCTAAGATCGGATTGAGGAAGGCCCTGGTGTTGAAATATTGGAGTTCAAGTTCAAGTTTGAGCGGTTGAGCAGCACAAACGTCTAGAAAAGCCTTCACAACCTGGGTTAAATGACCTCTAATCAGGGGCTCGAACCACAGTGCGATGTGTGTGTGCGTGTGCGTGTGCGTGTGTGAATGTGTATTTATGTGTGTCAGTGTGTGCGTGTGTATGTGTGTGTATGTGTCTGCATGTGTGTGTGTCTCTATCTCTGTATGTATGTGTGTGTATCTATGTGTATGTGCGTGCGTGTGTCTGTGTGCGCGTGTGTATGTGTGTATGTGTTTGCATCTGTGTGTCTCTATCTCTGTTTGTATGTGTGTCTGTGTTTGTATATCTATGTGTATGTGCGTGCGTGTGTCTGTGTCTGCATGTGTGTGTGTCTCTATCTGTGTGCGTGTGTGTGTGCGTGTGTGCGTGTGTGTGTGTGTGTGTGGTGTGTCTGTGTTTGTGTATCTATGTGTATGTGCGTGCGTGTGTCTGTGTGTGTACCTGCGTATGCCTGAACAAGGAGCAACTTTTAACGTCTTTTTGTATGACGCCACCAAGAGACCAAACCATATCGTAAGTAACTTCCATAGGTATACAAAGCAACGTGCACTAGCTAAACTAGTATACACACGCACTTAACTCCGAATAGGACGAGGTCGGATATATCGAATGATCGGTTATAACGATCGAAGTAAAATAAGTAAACAGCCAAGCCGATTATTAATGCTATTGTCATAAGATAAACGCTTTTTTAAATTACATTATCCATGCTACCGTGTAACGTGTAACGAATATGATTTCTGCGTTGTGTAAAAAATATATATCATTTTTGGTAGTTTTCTACATCCCATGTTTGAATAAAACACATGGGTTCTCCTGGATTGACAGAATAAAAAAGATAGGGATTGTGGCCATTAAACTCGTCTCCGAATGAACAATGAAAAAAAAACATGGGATAAATACTTTTGGAGCAAATTCCACCAGCTGAGATGAACTGCCGACTGACCAGTCCTCCAACAGTGGTGCGTGACCTCTGTACCCTGCTTGCGTGGACATTACTGCGTCATCCCTTCTCTGACCACCCTCGGTGTGACACGTGGACGATAATCTCCACCACTGATGTACGACTACTTCGACTGGATGCGTTTGGGAGTGCTGAACAGGTGCCATCTACGTCATAATCCCCTGGCGTGTTTGTTCTTGGATTTACGACTCTGTCGCCTTAGTTCACAACATGTATCACACTGATACCCAAAGGTCGGGGGTCGTTGCTTGTACGACTGTGTTTTTTTAATAAGGCCAATCATTCTTTTAAAACTTGGTTAACGATTCCGCCTACTCCAAAAACAATGAAGTGTAAATAAAGATAAAAATGAAATGCAGCAGCGTTAGAAATTGGCACTAGTCCTACAGTCCTTGCCAAACTGCCCGATAGTAATGGTATCCTAAGGCCTAGTTGAAATTTGCCGTTTTCAATGGTTTTACAGTAAGTTATCATTATAGGGACTTGTGGACGAAAATTGTTAGTTTCTACCGCTGTGCAGTGGGTTTCTTATTCCGACGACCTGAATTCACTTCAAATGAGATACATGTTAAATAAAACTAATTTACTGTTGCTATCAAAAAATAATTATAAATTATTTAAAATGCTATTATTAAAACGTGTTAAATTGTCTTAAAAACTTAACACAACGAATTATGGCGAATCCCTATTCCCCCGGCCCCACTTAATCTTCTCTTTTCCTGCCTTCCTAAAATATACTTAATGATTGGAATTTTTTAATTACTTATTTTTACTTATCGACCGGGCTCGTTGGACCAGAAATCCGTAAACCGAAAAACATATGGCCTAAGTAACGTTAGATAACTAACCAGGGACAGCACAGGAATGTTTAAAAATCCATCCAAATGATTTTTGGGGTTAGTTCAGCTTCTTTTTGTGTCTCCGTTCAGTGAAGGTAACACCATCTTCACATTTTGTGGGAAATCGAAAAAGGCTATAACATGTTATCATGCTAACCACTTGGCCTAATTATTAACACAGCGTTTGAAAGGTAATGGTATTTGGTTTGTTTGTTTCAGTTCTTCAGTAGGATGCCGCCGACAGGGACGTCACTGACGATGGCGAGGTTTAGTTTCATCATCGTCATCCTCATGTGTTTCCACGTACATGAAGGTAAGCTGTGAACATCCTCACCACGCTCACAACTAACACTCGCAGATGACACAAAGGCTTTATTCAACACGCAGTGATTACATTGAGATTTCATCCATTGTGAAGGATGAGTAAGTAAGTAAGTTTGAGTTTTCGCCGTTTTAAGCAATATTCCAGTAGTATCACGGCGGGGGACACCAGAAAGGGGCTTCACACACTCTACCCATGTGGGGAATCGAACCCGGGTGTTCAGCGTGACGAGCGAAAGCTTTAGCCACTAGGCTACCCCACCGCCTCTTATGCAGGATGAAGGGGCGGTCGGGTAGCCTAGTGGTTAAAGCGTTCGCTCGTCACGCCTAAGACCTGGGTTCGATTCCCGACATGGGTACAATGTGTGAAGCCCATTTCTGGTGTCCCCCGCCGTGATATTGCTGGAATATTGCTAAAAGCGGCGTAAAACCGTACTCACTCACTTATGCAGGATGAGGTCGTTATTGTGGTCATCGTGACCTTGTGATCTAAGGCGCCGCGATTAGAGATGCAAATTTGGTTCTCATTGTTCTACCAGGATCCGCTGGTCGTGGTTGGAATCCATATTCGTCCTGATTATGACCCTTGGTCTGTCAGCACCATGGCAAAGTAGGTTATGTCAGCTGGCTTCACATTGGGATTTCTCCCCGTATGAAGCTGACCTCTCGTGCTATAGCTGGAATACATCTTCCTGAGGATAGGGCGTTGACTGACTATAAGAGTCCTGTGGAAACTGGACTTTATTAATGAGTTAACGCACTTGCCTCGGGAAGATGGCTGCAATTCTGTTCAAAGCAGCGCTTCAGGTTTGTGTATATACCAGGTAGTGAGTGTGACCGTGAAGCAATATGCTTTTAGGATTATATACTGATTTAAAAAATAAGGGAACGATAAGAGTGCAACATGTGTTTAAAATGAAATTGTGTTTTTACCCGAGAAAATATATCAACTATTCGGTAATCTAGAGTTCGAGCCAAGATCTAATACCACGTCATGCACCATGTTGATGAACATTGCAGAAAACATACATCTACCATTTTTATTTACATTCTCTTATTTCTTTCTGTGAGTATATTTAATTCGCCAATGTTTGTTTGTTTTTTAACGCCGCACTCAGCAATACTCAAGCTATATGACGGCGGTCTGTAAATAATCGAGTCTGGACCAGACAACACAGTGACTGACGTCATGACCACCAATCTACGGAATTGGTGATACGATGACACACATCAGCGAAGTCAGCAAACCTCACCATCCGATCCATTAGTTGACTCTTACGACAAGCATAGTCGCCTTGTACGGCAAACATGGTTTGCTGAAGAACTATTCTAACACGGATCTGCACGGGTATTCGCCAATGTAGTAAACCCATCATCTCCTCACTTTGTGCTTGTTGACGTCTGTTGATATCATGCATGTTAATTCAAGACAGCAGTGAACTGTAACCTGCAACGTTCCATTGTTTCGAATACCCCACTGGGACTTCGTGATGGAGGGTGATGGTTATCTGCTTGATGTATAGATCAACCATAGATAGATTCCCTGCGCTGAAATCATCCAGTCGCCATTGCTATTCTCAGTTAGTCTGTAATGTTCCGTGAAGATTCCGGGGTAGAATAAGTCTTCAGCAACCCATACTTGCCGTAAAAGGTGACTATGCTTGTCGTAAAAGGCGACTAACGGGATCGGGTGGTCAGGCTCGCTGACTTGGTTGATACATGTCATCGATCCCAATTGCGTGGATCGATGTTCATGCTGTCAATCACTGGATTGTCTGGTCCAGACTCGATTATTTAAAGACCGCCGTCATATAGCTGGAATATTGCTGAATGCAGCGTTAAACATCAAACAAACAAACAAACAAACTGTAATGTCAGCAACCGCTACAAAACTGTCTTTCTGATTTCCAAAGGACTGCTACTGATATTATATACTATTATTGGGATTGTAGTGCCATGGTTTGAGCTTAACGTTTTTTAACAGTATTTCAGTTACATTTTGGTGTGTCAGGTAAAAAAGAGGAGGCAAGCCCGAAGTAACAAAGGTCTGATGTTTACTACATTGGTCAAATCACGAAACACGGACATGGTGGTGACAAACCATGGTTCATAATCACCTGTACTCTGGGATTCGAACCAACAATTAGCGGACGATTTCAAACCTGTCCTGTTTCAATAATGCTCTATTTGTACATGACCGCCTCCGTGGTATAGTGGTAGAGCGTCCGCCCGGAGAGCGGAAGTTCCAGGGTTCAATCCCCGGCCGCGTCATACCAAAATACGTTAAAAGATGGTACTTGTTGTTACCCTGTCTGGCGCTCGGCATTAAGGGGCTAAAACAAGGACGGGTCAGCTCGGAGTCAGTATACTGTGTCTGAGTGGGGTATATCCATGTTAAACTGCGGCATGGTATCTCAGTGGGCTAGCACTATAAATCGGCATCAGTCCGGACTAGTACAAGCAGCCACACACACACACGTGCATGCACGTCGCTATATAAGTGCAATAATCTTGGACGCGACGTTAAACACAATTTCACCTCACCTCTATTTGTACATGATGTTGTGATGGCATTGTCTTTGCTTCAGCGTAGTGATCATAGTTCATCCACTACATAAGCTATTCCTAATCTCACTGCTTATGCTTTGCTTGCTTACAGCACCTGCTGCTGTGCTTACCAATGTTGACACCCGCTGTAACGTTGACAACGGTATCGTGGCTGACATGAGCAACTGTGGCAACTTCATCGTGTGCCTTCAGGGTAGAGCTCGGCGGGTGATCACGTGCTCTAAGGGACTACTCTACGACACCAAACTGCGCATGTGCAATCACAAATACAAAGTGGACTGCGGAAGAAGACCGCCAAGCGCTGACGGTAAATCAGAAGCTTTAGCACAGCCTAAGCAAAGGCTAAATAGACACGCTTAGCTTATTCGTCCGTGCACATGCTTATCACATCACCGGTTTAATAAATTTATTTATATTTACGAATGCCACCGGGAACTGTTGTCAATCGATTTTGTAACAAAATCCCCTTGATGTATGCCACTCAAAAGAAGTTAAAGAACACGATTCTTTTATGTGTGTGGGTGTGCGTTGTGATCGCTGTGAATAGCTGCAGTGTGCTGAGACGGCTTAAAACAATATTCTTTCACCGCTTTCAGTAAATTCCCGTTGTCGAGTTAACCGTAATTCGAGCCAAGTGGTATCAATATCAGACCATATGTCGGTACCACGGGACTTAAAGAATATATTGAGATAAAGGAGTTCGAGATAACAAGGGTTTACTGTAACTGAGATATTACATAGCATTGACAACAATGTTCCAGCCAGCCAATAGGCGTGCCACGGGATATACAGTGAACCCCAGCACCGTCATTACCGTATCTGACGGTACCGTCCGCAGTGACGTTGCCTGGATTCACAAACCAGTGTTACAGGGAATTTACCTTTCCCTTTATTTTCCTTACACTGGTCGTCCTGAAAATAGGGATTATAGATTATCAGCTTCCAAATCAAAGGTAATCCACCGACTATGACCGAACTTTAAGGGAGAGAACTCCATAAACAAGAACATGTTTAGAGTGGAATGTCGTTCGTTTTTCACGCAACTGATCGCTCAGATGGACTAAGCTGGAATACAACTGAGCGTAAATGTGTATTTTTGGTGCTTCAATATATTGTGTTACACTACATTGAAAATTTCAGTAACGTGCTAATAATTATATCTGTTGTAACGTCATGCTTTTATCGTTAACAGTCCAAAAAGCAAGTACGTTTCATATCGAGACAATCACACTTCATGTTTAACTTGTCAAGTTCAAACATAGTTTGGAATAGAAAGAGTACTGTCCTCACGCTTAAACAAACAGTATCAATAAACATATCTACTACGAAACTCGTTAATTTGAGTGAAATCGTCCGAATAATAAAATTTCCGGATTATGAATCCATTGTTCAGACTTACGTCACTTTAATATTATATTACCTGGTTAAAAGGGGTGTCCTGACTAGCGAGGTTTCACTGTATATACCTTAGTCACACGACAATGGTAGGTTTTTCCTAATCCTCTCCTGGAAAGTATACACCCATGTTTGATGGTGGCTAGAAATGACACAAACAAGAATTGGTTATTCAATGGTGATGTATGTGATGCGGGTGTCATAGTTGTGTTTCGTATCTTAGGTTGGCAGTCTTTCGGCGACTGTTTTCAACGTTTTTCTAACGTTTGTAATTGTTTGTTCAAATCCAATTTACAAGTGTATACTTTCTTTTGCGCGGCAATTTACGTATGCCTTTTGTTCTGAAATTCCATTTACACCTTGTAATGGAGACTAACATCTTGTATCTGAAATGAACATATCGTACAGAAAAAACAGTTGTTCAATTATCTTAATAAAAATATAATAAAAGGTAGCCCAGTGACTTTCTTCATTTTCAGACCTGATACTGCAGTAATCTAGACTTGCCAAACATTATAGACTTGCATGGGCTGTATTTGATGTATATTTGTGTCAGGGTCTGTAAGACAGACTACTTGTAATGCATGAAAGGTGCATGTACAGTATACAGTATACATGACATATCTCTGGTCTCGCGAACACTTGTGGGTTCGAATCCCGGTTCGCCCCGATTATGTTTCTAGGTTTGTCAGCACCCGTGCTCGTGGGTTTCACCTAAGTGGTAAACGTCTGAGACCTGCATCACTTCGGGCTTTCCTCCCACATTAAGCTGACACGCCGCGATATAACTGGAATACTGTTAAAAGCGGCGTAAAACCCAATTCACTCACTCACTCACTCTCGCGAACACCCGGTGTCAGTTGACGGTGAGTGTAGGTTTCTATGTTTAATGTACACCAGCCAAGGTCAACTGCTTCCTGAGCGACATCAAGGTGACCATCAAGGTGGAGAACCAGGTCAAGCCGCCATACTTCACGTTCCGGACCACCGTGGAAGCCCCGAGACAACCGCTAGAGAACTTCCTGCTGATGGCCGCCGGCAGAGACAGCCGGTTCAGGTGGGATCACGTGACCACCAGCAACTAGCGTTATTTGCTATGTGTTTTATGTCTGTGTCAATTGACTCAACTCTTGATTGTTAATAATATGAATTCCGGTTCTGTTCTACATCGAAAATGTATATGAATACAGTAAACTACGTTTATAACGAACACGCTTATAACGAACTGACCGATATTACGAACTTATTCTTTAGGGGGCGGTCGGGTAGCCTGGTGGCTAAAGCGTTCGCTCGTCACGCCGAAGACCCGGGTTCGATTCCCGACATGGGTACAATGTGTGAAGCCCATTTCTGGTGTCCCCCGCCGTGATATTGTTAGAATATTGCGGAAAAACGGCGTAAAACAATACTCACTCTATTCTTTAGACCCGGGCATTTGTTGTATATATACTTATAACGAACTACGTTTTTTTATGAACTAAAGTTAGTGGTCGCTTTGAGTTTGTTATAACCGTATTTTACTGTATACTGACGGGAAGAATGTAGGAACTGCTTGAAAGGGAAAGCAAGTATGTCGTTTTTCATGTAACCGAAAAAGATTGTTTGTCAATGGAGTGAGCAGATCACGACAGGCTTCGCCCATCCAGTCTATTAATGTGACACGGCCTCCAGCCTAGTGGATAGTGCGCCTGCCCGTAGAGCGGAAGGTCGTTGGTTCGATCACCGACTGGGTCATTCCAAAATTCGTTAAAGTATGTTGATACCCTGCCTGATGCTCGACATTCAGGGCATAAAACAAGGACTGGTTGGCTTGGAGTATACTGTGTCTGAGTGGGGTATCCATGTTAAACTGCGGCGTGGTATCTCAGTGGGCTAGCAGTGTAAAACCGACATAAGTCCGGACTAGCACAAGCAGCCACACACACACACACACACACACACACACACACACACACACACGCAGGCACACACACACGCACGCACGCACGCACGCACACACACACACACACACACACACACACACACACATACACACACGTGCATGTTCGTAGCTGTATAAGTGCAATACTCTTGAGAGCGACGTTAATCCCAAGTTCACCTCACCTCTTTTATGTGAAGCAATTTTATGGACCAATGTCTGACATCAGGACTGCGCTTGTCTCGAACTACTGTTAGTTCGACTTCGAGACAACGATGGGTTACTGTAGTTTATTAAGTCTTTAAGATAGCTGGAAGTTCCTTTATTTGTCAGAAGTGATCCAGTTTGTGTTTCGAGCCTGATATGCAGCGTATATATTGTTCAGGTTCGAATCCAAGATGATCGACGATTTCGGGATGTTCGTGACAGCAATCAACGGCGTGAGAGCGGATCCCCTCGACGTCACCGCGTGGCTGCCATTTGACAGACTCAACCGACAGCTTACAATCAGTACGTGATATCCGAATAGCAGCTGCACGGCCGGAAATAGTGTTGTGGGTGGGGTGTAATACGAGTAGTAGTAGTAGTAGTAGTAGTAGTAGTAGTAGTAGTGCTGGTGCTGTTGGTGATTGTGATGGTGGTAGTAGTAGTAGTAGTAGTAGTAGTGGATGTAGTTGTGGAGTAGTGGTGGTGGTAGTGGTAGTAGTAGAAGTATATGTTTCTGGGCAATATCTAAAGAAATGTTCTCTTACGTTCCAGGCAATATCTGATGAATGTTCTTTTTTGTTCTGGGCAATGCCTGATAAATGTTCTCCTGTGTTCCAGACATCAGGGACTATGTTCCCCAGGACATGGAGACTATCGTGTTCCGTTTCTACTCCTTCGCAGAGCCGGATGACTGTAGCGGGTCTGGATGCCGCACCCCTCGGGCCAGGCTAGTAGGCAACGGGTAGCCCCACCCTGTCCACAACAACAGTGTAATGTGCACATTGAAACTGGGATTGCTTACGAATGTGTATATTTACAAAACCATTGGAACGTGTGACAGTAAGCTAGCGTTATATGCTCTGCAGTCATAGTATCTGTGCCAGCACAAATTGCCGTTTTACTGGCTGGGGTTATATGATTGAGGTTGGATCACGTGGTAACGATTTAATCAGGTCACGTGGTAGTGGTTGGATCATGACGTACGGATGGACCATTTATGCTCAGCTGGGTTACGTGGAAGCGCTTGGGTCACGTGACAGAGGTTGAAAATAGGGTTTGGATCACATGATGGGGGTATGATAACAGGGTTGGGTCACATGACATGTAGGATGACAGGTTTTGGGTCACATGGTAGAGGATTGATAACAGGGTTTGGGTCACATGATGGGGGTTGGATAACAGGTTTGGGTCACATCACATGTTGGATAACAGGGTTTGGATCACATGGAAGAGGATGGATAACAGGGTTTGGGTGACATGATGGGGGTTGGATAACAGGTTTTGGGTCCCATGATGGAGGTTGGATAACAGGGTTTGGGTCACATTTAAGAGGGTGGATAACAGGGTTTGGTGACATGATGTGGGTTGGATAACAGGGATTGGGTCACATGATGGGGTTTTGATAACAGGGTTTGGGTCATATGGAAGAGGATGGATAACAGGGTTTGGATCACGTGGCAGATATTGGATAACCGGTTTTGGGTCCCTCTGTTGGGGTTAGATAACAGGGTTTGGGTCACATGGCAGATATTGGATAACAGGTTTTGGGTCCCTCTGTTGGGGTTAGATAACATGGTTTGGATCACATGGCAGATATTGGATAACAGGTTTTGGGTCCCTCTGTTGGGGTTAGATAACAGGGTTTGGGTCACATGGCAGAAATTGGATATCAGGGTTTTGATCACTCTGTCGGAGGTGGATATCAAAGATTTCAGGGTTACGGTCGCGTGGTAGGGGTTGGGTCACACATGGGTATGGGCTCGATGGCTGGTTAGCTTTAATTCTGGCTTGAACAATGTAGTGAATTGTCCGTCCTTGAACCTAACCAGGCATTAATAGTTTATTATTTTCTGGATAATGCAATAAATAACCGATATTTTTAATTTCTTAACACTGACTCAGTTTCCTAATGTGCGAGACTCATGGGTCAGTGCACTTGCGTTCCAGGGTAACTGGGGGTTGTTTGGTGGGTACCAGGAAGTACAATTACTGACGCTCACTGTCTGTAAAGTTTCATGTCCTTTGGAGTCTTTCGTAACTGTATTCAGAGTGTTGTACATGTAAATGCTTATACAGATTAGTAGTAGCAGTAGTAGTATAGTAGTAGTAGTAGTAGTAGTAGTAGTAGTAGTACGTAGTCGTAGATAGACAATGAAGTACTCCTCACAAAATCTATGGTGTACACTACTAGTACTACTACTACTACTACTACTAATAATAATATTACTACTACTACTTCTACTACTACTACTACTACTACTATCATCAGATCTGCTTACATTTAACTAACAAATATACACTAAATAACATTGATTAAACATAATTTTCATGTAAAGATGTCTCATGTTGTATTTAGGGACAGGGAAAATTGAACGAAATAAAGGGATACTCCTGCATCTGGTCTCAGCCATCTTCTCAAGCCTGGTGCGTGATGGCGATGTTGCAGATACACTTCACATTCCCCTATAGTTGTTTCTTCTCGACTCGAGATATATCAGCCTGGGCCCCGTTCCTCAAAGCAATCTTAGCGCTAAGGTGATAGTAAGTCCCATGCTTTAACATAGGCTTACGATCATTGTAGCACAAGATCGGTTTGGGGAACGAGGCCCTGGCCTACAGGTTCATACAGACGGGCAACCATTGTGACTAGTCATAGTTTAGCCAATCGCAGGTACTTCATTTCCTGCAGGCGATTATTTTCGAAAACTTACAAATCAGGTGACGGTTTCAGTCAAATACATTTAGGCCTTTACTCGAGTATTTACGGTAAGGTGCGCTAGACGATATGGACAGGGCGATGATAATTTATCATTCACCGTTAGTAATAAGGACAGGGTGACGTGCTTCCTTTTCATAATACTTTCATGATAGGCGTGTTCCCAAATAACAGTTTAAATTGATCACATGATAAAGGTTTTAATGAAAAAAGACATTGTAATATCTGCCAATTTTAACCCCAAAAGATGTATTAGTTAAGTTGATGTCAGAGTATGTAGGCACATCATTCCTGCATTTACCGATGCTCTGTGATATCCCTAGCTATAACCCCACAGCAAGTCATATCGAGAACAAACGAGGCGTGTTCCCATGTTGTAATGTTCCACATGAATTTAATTAAATATAGAATCTAACTAATACTTCTTGGTATGAGTCCGTGCACACATATTGCAGCCTGTCATAATGTACTTGTATATAGTTTGGTAATATCGCGTTTGGACTGCGCCAATCGTTGATGAACGGGAGGTTAACGTAGAGGTTAATGTGTTCGCTCTTCACGCCTAACAACCTGGGCTTCGTTTCACGAAGCGATCGTAACGCCTAGACCGTCGTAACTCCCATAGTTAGGACAGTCGTAACGGTGCGATCGCTTTGTAAAACGGGGTCCAGTTCGATTCTCTCGATGGATTTCCAAGCTGTTATAGGTCTCACATAATGCTGACAGTGCAACACGGTAGGTTCAAATAAGGGGAGATAATTCAAATGAAGAGAAATCCATCAGCGTCAATGTTTCCACTCTGAATCACGACTGCTAAAGGTTTGCTTTTCTTTAAATTGTCAGATCGAAAATTGATAAACCATTCTTCTTTAATAATAAAAAGAAGAATTGTATGTCCCCCGTCGTCAGTATGTAGTGGTGAATGTGTTTTGTCCATAATGATTGTTCGAATCCCGGTTCGCCCCGATTATGTTTCTAGGTTTGTCAGCCCCCTAACCTGCTCGTGGCTTTCGCCGAAGTGGTAAACGTCTGAGACCTGCATCACTTCGGGCTTTCCTCCCACATTAAGCTGACACGCCGTGATATAACTAGAATACTGTTCGAAGTGGCGTCAGATCCAATTCACTCACTCCAATGATCGTGATTGAATGAGTGAATGTTGTTTTACGGCAGTATTCAATCATATCACGGTGGTTTGATGGTGATCGAATCTGATCCAAACAAACAAGTGATTGATAGCGTAAGTAACTGCCACATCCTCGGGCTGCCATGACACATGAGCAGGCAGGCCAAACGCTTGTGAAGTAATACCGCTTACTCTTCTTGTTTAAGGAAACACTACAATTCGGTCAAATGAAAACAAAATAACAATTACATTTGATCACTACACCGGACAATGTGCCCACAGTCCAACCATATCCATTACACATACGTTCACAGATTCCTCAACACTCAATACTGTCGACTCTCGCTGTGTCGTACTCGGCTATCTCGATATGTGATATATCTCCAAATCACAACGGTCCACCTTATACATGCAAGCTACCCCTCGATCTCAACCCCGGTTATCTCCCCTTTGGTCCATTCTCCTCCGGCATAACGGGTTGTACAGGAAAAACAACCCATCCGCGGGGAAACCACATTGTATCATATGTCAGGGTTTTCAGGCGACAAAATACGCCCAATTTGGAATTCAATACAGCATGGGGACCATCAAGAATTTGACAAATACAGAACATTTCGATTACCGCAAATATAGCTGGAATATTGAATATGCGGTGTGTGCGTGTGTGTGTGTGCGTGCGTGCGTGCGTGCGTGCGTGCGTGCGCGTGTGTGTGTGTGTCTGCTTGCAGTATTCCGGACTAGTGCTCGCTCACTGAGATGCCTCAGTTTATCATGGATACCCCTTTCAGACACAGTATACTGATTCCGAGCCGACCAGTCCTGTCAACAAGTAGCATCTTTTCAAGTCCTCTGGGATGGCGCGGCCTGGGAATCGCCCAACAACCCTCCTCTCTCCTTGCAGACGCTCTCTCCACTACATCACAGAAGTGGTCAGAAGATCCAGGAATAGCAATGTAAACACTGTATAATTAGGCCATCATAGAATATGTATTACGCCTCACTACCAAACAACCCCGCCTGGGTAGTCTCCGACTACCTGCAACCAGGGTACCGTTGTACAAAACAACTTCAGCGCTACGACTGTCGTAAGTCTATGTTAAGGTATGGCTGTTACGATCACTTAGCGCTAAGATCGCTTTGTACAATGGCACCCAGGAAAGTAGTGTGCACTCCCTTATTCTTAATTGATGACATCACATCCTTCAACAGTTAATATTCACAAATGCTTTGAATAGTTCGTTTGAAAAATATATTTGGATGAAACTAATTATTGTGGCCTCAGCGACAACACCCGGTTGTGTGACGACCCGTGAAGATCCGGGCTAGAATAGGTCTTTAGCAATCCAAGCTTCCCGAAAAAGGCGACTAACAGGATCGCGTGGTCAGGTTCGTTGACTTGGTTGATGCACGTCATCGTATCCCAATTGCGTGGACCGATGCTCATGATGTCAATCACGGGATTGTCTGGTCCAGACTCGATTATTTACAGACCGCCGTCTTATAGCTGGAATAGAGTGTGGCGTTAAACAACAAACAAATCACCGTGTGGCGCGTACAGAGACAGGTACTTGGATGAGTTTCGAGATCGTTCAATTCATAGAGATGGCATCGGGTCTTGTTCAGAATGTCAAACGGTTTGATCGTGTTTTCAGAGCAATGTTAAATCATTGGAAACATGTTTCACAGAAGAAGATGTGTCCTACCAAAGAATGCCTAGTGTGTCATCCAGTCTGATCGTGTGTTCAAATCAATGTTCAATCACTGGAAACAAGGGACAGATTAACAGAAGAAGCAGATGCCAAGTACAGGATGCCTGATGTGTCATCCAGTTTGATCGTGTGTTCAAATCAATGTCCTGTCATTGGAAACAATGTTCAGATCCAAATCAGATAAAATAATCCATAAGATGCGGACATATGTTGGCGTGCATGGTTTGTGTACGCCATGGTCTACGGAGAGACTACGATCAACTTGCAGAGAGTTGTGTCTGGCTGTGATCTCGACCGTTAGGGACCTCGAACGGCTTATCTTCCTTTGGGCAGGGAACAGGGTCGGTTGGTCGCTGCTCGAAAAAATCGATGACTATAGTTTCGGACGCCATCTGAAATTCATTACAATTACCTATATAACACATTTCAACATCTCATGGTTACGATGTTTAATGAGTTTTAGCTCTTCTTAAAGCGACAGTAAAGTTTGTTTTTTTGTTTGTTGCTCAGCGCCGCACTCAGCAATATTCCAGCTATATGACGGCAGTCTGTAATAATTGAGTCTGGACCAGACAATCCAGTGATTAATTTTATGAACATCAATCCACGCAATTGAGATACGATGACATGAATGACCCAAGTCAGCGAAAGTGACCACCTATTCTTACCCGGATGTTCACGAGTTACAACTTTCGTGAAAACCACGAATACTGGTAAGGAGTTGACAAACCATGAATTATAATCAAAGCGAATTTGGGATTCGAACCTACGATTACTGGATCTAGTCACGCCTAAGGGATATCGAATTGCGCCAAACTTAGACGATTGGGTCCCGGTGCCGTATTGTATTGAGAGCCACGGCTCAACATGAGACGAAAATTTCTCATCTGTCACCTGGGGCGGTGGGGTAGCTTTGTGGTTAAAGCGTTCTCTCGAAACGCCGAAGACCCGGGTTCGATTCCTGACATGGGTACAATGTGTGAAGCCCATTTCTGGTGTCCCCCGCCGTGATATTGCTGGAATATTGCTAAAAGCGGCGTAAAACAATACGTTGTTACCTGGTTGATTCAGAATTTCATCGTATTCCGATGGTGTAAATCGCAGCCCAGATCGTCGACTAGAAGACCTGTAATGTTTTGCGTAGGTATGGGAGGATCGCAATGACGCGTGCCTGATACGATAACCGTATCGTAAGGTCCCATATCGAAGAAATACCTGTATATACCAGCACTTAGCAGAGATCACTTGCCTTTAAGCGCCAACTTATGTCAGAATAACGGTTTCCTGCTTCAGGCCCGATTTCGCTTTGCAACCATCATTACAAAGCTCATCCTCGATTGGCCAGGGACTTTTATCACCATACTTTTGGCATAAATACCCTGGACCCATTTGACACTATAGCTCCTATTGTTAAGTTAGCGACACGTGTCTCTCGCTGAAGAGAGTAATCTGATTGGACGGCTATTTTTAGCATCCTGTCGTATGACGCTGGCTCAGTATGAAGCTAAGGTGACAAATGCCTCCACGGTATTCTTCCTAATGGAATAGATATATAAGACATTGAAACAATGGATGAGGGAAACAGTTGTGACGCTGAACAACAAACACCCACTTACCTCTGGACTGGCTTTGAGCAATTCTTTCACAAAGTTATGAAGCTCCAACTCCCGGTACTCCGCCAGTCCCCGTGTGTAGCGTCTGTACCAGCGCTTACCTGGTAAATAAATGATGAGAACACACTGGTTTGACTGAAGTAATGAATAGTCAATCAGTTTTAAACATGCACCGTGTGGCTTTTGGTTCAGTGTGGGAGTGATCACACGCTCTGGCGACCCTGGGACTTTAAACTACATATAGCATCACCCTGTTGTATTTCCAATACGTTGTGGCAAAACCTCTGAGGTCAAGGACGTTCCACTACATTCAGTCTTAGACTCTGTTCCAGGTATTCGTTATGCTCGGTCAAGGATATGTCAAGATCTGTAAAATCGTATTAAAGGACGTATTTTTTCAGTTGTTGTTTTTGTTTAACGCCGCACTCAGCAATATTCCAACTATATGACGGCAGTCTGTAAATAATCGAGGCTGGACTCAGACGATCCAGTGATTGACTTCATGAGCAATTATCTACGCAATCGATGACATGCATCAACCAAGTCAGCGAGCCTGACAACCTGATCCCGTTAGTCACCTCTTACTACAAGCATGGGTTTCTGAAGACCAATTCTAACCAGGATCTTCACGGGTCTATTGACGCGGACGTGTGTACCAAGATGAAATAGCTTATACGTATTTGTGATAAAAGATTATCATCCTTGATTATCCAATGTATTACACCCCCATTAGACCCATAAAAGATCCGGGGAAGAATAGGTCTTCAGCAACCCATGCTTGCCCAACCCATGCTTGCCGTAAAAGGCGACTATGCTCGTAAGAGGCTCGCTGACTTGGTTGAAGCACATGACATGTATCCTGTACCCCTTCGCAACCATAAATTTGTTTTAAGCCCTATTTCAAAGGCCCGACGCTACCCTAGTACAACACCCAATTACGTTACTCTCATGAGAGGGAAAGTGTGCGCGAGGTTCGATATTATAGCGATGAAGGTGGCGACCTCCATTTCGAAAGAAGCTGTGGCGGCGAATAGTCCAGGGTGTTTATCACGATAGAATGTAGACACACTGCGCTGGATAATAGAGGTGATTACGAAAATTTGTAATTAATCACATTTATCTTACCTTAAATAGAATGTCGGATTCTGATTGGCTATTATTATTTTCAGTGTACCCCGCTAACACGTAAGGTAAATTTCTTATGCTCCCCGATCGAATTGCCGAACTGTTTGGCCTATTTAAAACATACCAACAGCAATTTTGTTATCATACCTCCATGTCGGAATGATTGGTCAACGTGATCTTGATAAAATACTGTGTATCTCGCGTTGGAGGGGAATAAATTTCTCAGCGGGGGAATAAATCCCGTATACGACGCTTACAAGCAAAAAGGCGCACTCATTTTCCAAGCCAATGGAGTCACGTGACATAACGCATAACCTCAGCTCAATCGAAGGCCTGTTTTCTTTCAATTTGGAATTTGTTTCAATTATTTTACAATGTCATATTAAAACATGTCGATAACATAAATTCGTTGAAGCAGGATCACTCGGGGCACATGGGGTTTTATGCCTATCCTAACGCGGGACGCATAAACTGATTGCTTGAGGGCCGAGACAAGGGCTTTAAGTGACTATAAACGTCCAGTTTCCCTTGCCTCGGGAAGATGGGACCGAGGAGTCTTTTTAGGTTACATATAAATTCCCTGGTTCAGCGCATGTATTATCTAAAACCCAATACAAAAATTACAAGTGATTCTATGGCTGCTAACCAAGAATTATTCCATGAAAACAAGGACCTATATAGGTCCGTGATGAAACTATAAAAGTATTAAGCCACGCCTTGAACCTATACAACCATTTTTATAGGCCCGTGGCCACGCCCTCTGGCGGACAACCTGGTCACTTGTGTTACATTACTAGTTTCGCTGAACGATGTCAGTGACAAATAGACAGGCTGTGAATCTATTATTGTTGAGTTATTTATTTATAAAAATGACAGAGCTCCAGATAAGCTTTTGGTGATGTGGGTATTTTACCCATGCATTTTAAAATCATTGGATATCAGTAATTCTATCTGGGTATTCAAATTTATGTTACCCACTAGTTTTTACACATGTGGGTATTTAAGTTAAATATTTAAAAACACTATTCATCTAGTCCCTGCAAACTGGTGTCGTGTGGGTTCGAGAGATTTATAGGACTAAAAAATACCACGAAACTTCCACAAGAAAGTGTGATGGCAAATGATCATGATGTAACTGTCATCGTGGAGTTTGGCAAGGTTGACGGAATGCCCGTTTATAGTTGCTGATTTGCTAATCAAATACCCAGGGTTACTTCACAATATTTTGATGATACACACAAGTTTTATTTTTGTAGCGTATCTGTAATGTTCGTTGCGTATTTGATACGCTTGGATTTTATTTTACTGCATATTTCTGCATTTCTGATGCGTATTTTACGCAGATACGCAGCTTATCTGGAGCTCTGAGTAACTTCAATAGGTTGCGGGAATCCGGTGATCGTGGGTTCGAATCTCAGATTCGTCCCTATTACAATGCTTGGTTGTGGATATTGTACATCGTGATTAACGATTACAGCTTTCGTCATTTGGGGTTTCCTCCCACATTTAGCTGACAATCCCAGATATAACTGAAATGCTGTTCAAAGCGGCGTTAATCATTCACTTCAGCCGTAACTGTTCACTGTTTACACATGGCGATGGGAGGTAACTCAATACGGTATGTCCCCGCCCGACTCGTGTTCCTGAAAATGTCAAAAACATTCTATGCGGTAGCTCCGCTCTAAAGGCCATGGAAATACCTCACCTACCCCCCGGGGAGGGAAACTGGGGCAGCTGTGAGGGGAGGCGTAGTATTAGTCGATATGCCATCCCCTTATACATATAACTTCTCTTGAACTTAATTATCGATATGCCGAGCAACAGAAATTATTTTCGTGTTTCTTTTTCCCATTTTTCGCACTTTGAATTTTGAGCATATATTTTAAGTTTAATTTACATTCAAACGTTTGTTCCACGGTCTTAACATTTCAAATTGCCAAAATACATATCTCCTTAAAAAGAATTGTTTGATTTCAGTGGAACATAGGTGTTCATATAAGCAAAATAACGTATGAAGCCAAAATAACTTGGGTCAGTTATTATCCAGTTATTCCATTTATTTTACAGCTTCGTAAATAATGTGAATGCGTGATGTTATTATTTAACTAAACCAGAGACCATATAATCAATTATATGGTCTCTGACTAAACCCAACTCAGAAACATCGTTATTGTACGGGCAACGCTTACTGGGACAGTTTACCACCAAAACATTTTTCTAACTTTTAAATCAAATAGATGACGGAACAATATGGCCAGAATTCCATTAAGGCCTAGTTTTTCTCTTATCACAAAATGGAAGCCGGTTATTTAATCAGCTTGGCCCATAGTTAATGGTCGTTAAGGAGGGGTATTCTAACAGAGGGGGTCAAACTCCTGCAATTCTTGCCACATCTCGCGGGATTGAGTAAACAATAATTCCGAGATAAAGGATGAAACAGCATGGTTCACAGGCCAAATGGCAAATATCAAGATGGCGGCCACGGTTACAGTTGTCTCCCTTGGGTGCTATAAGTTTTGTCGTTTCATCGCTGAGCAAAGACTGGCTAGACGCTAGTTATTTGTGATATGAACCACGCCTGATTTCAGGAAGAGGTGATCGTGACTGGATTCAATAAACAATACAATCCTGAATGATCAAAGAATGCTGTTGCAGCAAAGTCAGTTGACGGACACGGTGTCTGTCTTTGTCTTAATAAGTCGTGTTTCACATCGTCTTGAGAAACTTGTCATATGAATAAATATGATAATGTCTCCCCATTGACCGGACCGCATTAAATATATAAACTAAATAGTCCAAAAGTCCAAAATGAACCTGAACGGAATTAAATCAGTTCTGGGTGAGCAAACATTAAATTTCAAACAAAATTCCAAACACAAAAAAATCCGCCCATCTGAAACAAAACTGTTCACGAAGAGTGGCAGACATTATTTACACATAGCCCATTCTGCTTTGCTGCTCCGACTCGTGAAGATCCGTGGTAGAATAGGTCTTCAGCAACCCATGCTTGCCGTAAAAGGCGACTATGTTAGTCGTAAGAGGCGACAAACGGGATCGGATGGTTAGGCTCGCTGACTTGGCATGTCATGGTATCCCAATTGTATGGATCAATGCTCATGATGTCAATCACTGGATTGTCCGGTCCGGACTCGATTATTTACAGATCGCTGTCATATAGTTAGAATATTGCTGAGTGCGGCGTTAAACAAATGAAAAAACCACTCCGCTTTCTAAGCACTACTGTTAATTCGACATATTTTCGAGTACTTTCAAAAAGTCCACTATGGATTTCAAGGATTTGAGTCATTGAGTATTTACTCACATGTTATCATTCGCTTTGGGCTTTGCTAGTTTCCTTTGGGTATTGTTACTCCATTGGTCCGGTTTGTTGTGTTTTTTACGCTAATAAGTAAACATTATTTAAATAATTCTGCATAAATGCTGTTTCTGGTGACTTCTACTCTGTGTCTGTTCGTGTGCTGCCCCAAGTGTGTAACTTGTCACTTAGACTCACAACAGCGACATACATGTCTAATTAACAGTAATCCAGACGTAGCGCCACTTTATGCATTATTCACAGCGGTGTCTAGCCGGGAGAGCCACATTCCAGAAATGGCTATTGCCGGTAGAGCCACATTTTCAGCTGAGTGCATTTCACCTATTCTAGCGGGTAATTAATTAATCCGATTACCGATACCTTTAAATGAGTGTCCCACATTTAAATTACTAAGCGTGGTGTTCTTTAGAGATACCTTTAAATGAGTGTCCCACATTTAAATTACTAAGCATAGTGTTACTTACTTACTTACTTATATTGGAGATTTAACGTGCGCTTTCCGACTGCAAGCGTATGTCGCACACGGGCCCGGCCAGGCCATTTAATGTGTTTCCAAAAAGGGGAAAGTGAGTTTGTGCAACCCAGGAGGGGGGCTTTAGGGGTTGCTTATATAGTAATTTTGAAATTTGGAAAGAATGC